GAAGCTGTAGCAAGGCAGGGCAGTGAAACCCAGCATCCTGGATGCCAGCGCCACCATCACAGAGCCTTGCCTATGAGAACAGAGGCTGACCCCAGCGTTCCTACTTCCCGAGTCCCCGAGATCAAGGGCTTTGAAGCCTCGGAGCCATCCAGGCCCGGCTTGGCTGGAAGTGCAGGGTTTCAGGGCAGAGGTTTGTGCACCTGGATCTCTGCCATGGGGACTCCCTGCTGCATGACAGGATGTTCCCCAGTTTAACCCAGGGAGGAGTCTCTACAAACCGTGCCCGAGGGGGAAGGGCATTCAGAGAGGAACCCTTGTCTGCCTGCTTTGCATATGTGCAAATGAGCTGTGCAGGTGGCAGAGATGAAAGCTCTGGCTTCTCAGCCTCATCCCACCCCCTCCCTCAGTGACCTGCTATAGCCCTGCCTTTTCTACAGCTGCAGTGGTGGCAGCTGCAAAGCTGCCCGGAGATCGGTGCCCAGGCCAGGGCAGACAGCTCGGCCCAACACCCGCCTGCAGCAGTTGTCTGCCCGCAGTTGTCCGAGCTCACACTGAGGCTATTGAGGCCTGTGGGGTTGGGGGTGGAGCAGGGAACAGGTGGATCCTCCATGTCCTGGGAGTCAGTGAGCTATGTATAGAGCTGGGATAGCAAAGACACGGTGGTACTGGCTGGGCAGCTCCGGGGCAGGAGGGGCCATGTCCAAGCTGCTGCAGAAGCCCCTTGACCCTGGCACAGGCACATAAGCTAAAGGGGCTGCTGTCAAGCAGTTCCCACAACCAGCTTCCCACAGCCAAAAGAGTGACTGGGAGTGGAAAAGCATTTGCATGGATTTAGGTACCCACCATCCTCCCGTGCAGGCATTGCTGCCAAGCCACATTTCTGGGAGCAGAGAAGGCAGCCACAGAAAGGGGGGGAGGGGGCGGGGGGGGCACAGCTCCCACATAGGGATCCACACGTGCTCAGGACACGTGACCACACTAGGCTCACTAGTGCCCTGACCCTCGTGCAAGGAGGGGGCACATCCCCATATTTACAAGCCTCGCATTCCTTGTGCAAAATTGTGCGGACGGGGCCCTGGGGGTTCACAAGCGTCATGCGAGATGGGGCAGCAGAGTTCACAAGCACCTTGTTTTTTGGGCAAACTAGTGCAAGGGACCCCGAGATTCACAATCACCAGGCGAGACGGGTAGGAAGTCGCAAGCATCTCTTTGTCGTGCACCAACGGGACAGGCGGGGACCCTGGCGGTCACAAGCCTCGTGCAATACAGTACAGAGGAGGCAGCAAGGGCATGCCCAGTGCCCCTTCTCCCAGCCTGGCACTGGCCCCCCACAAATCTGCATGGAGCCGCACTGCAGGCTGGGCCCCCTCGCTGGGGCGCTGGTACTGGGATGCGGGAGGCAGGGGTGGAGGCCGCCCTTCCCCAGGCTCCAGCTCCCTTCATCTTCGTGAACAAGAACCCGGCTGGGGCTCGGGGCAGGGAAAGGAGCTGCGTTGAAGGCGG